TTATTAATTTTTGTTCTATTTTCTCTCCTTTGACATCCCTTTTAACCCTATACGATTCCTTCTATGTATAAACCTTTCCTTAGCTTTTTATATTGTTATTGCTGTTAGGTGCTGTCAAGTTGACTATGACTCAGAGTCACCTTATGAACAATAGGTTACAGAATTTAATTTTACTACCCAGCAAGGTTTTATCTTTTGAACACATATCTCAAAGTTTTATTTTAGAACTGAGTTTCTTTCATTCTGCTTACTGTTTTATATGGGATTTGGATATATTTTCATGCTAGCTTTTCTGAAACGACTTCTGTTTCAGGTGGTGTAATACTGGCTGCTGATTACTCTCAACTAGAACTGAGGATCCTGGCGCATTTATCTCATGACCGTCGTCTCATTCAAGTATTAAACAGTGGAGCTGATGTTTTCAGGAGCATTGCGGCAGAATGGAAGATGATTGAGCCAGAGTCCGTGGGGAGTGAGCTGAGGCAACAAGCAAAGCAGGTGATCTCTTTGAATAAGCTTATTATAAATGAGGAAAAAATTTAATCATTCAAATACCTTTTACAAGTATCCTGATTACTTGCAATTGAGGAACAATTTCTTCATCATCGACTCTTTCAGACCACGTTTGTTTGGGCCTCTGTCATGATACTCATTCCATTTTCCACACAGAAGCAGTGAAAGATAGACAAAAAAAGACAGAGGTCTGGCTCCTCTTAGGAGAAGAAAGCCGTATTAATTAAAAACCGTAATATATCCCGTCACAGTGTCTAGTACACAATAGAGGCTTATTTAAATATGATAGATATTATTGTTGCCATGGTGGATGGTGGATGGTGGATGTGGTAGTTATTTATTTTAAAAAAGAACTATTAAATATATCATTTTCTTGGGTAGAGTGCCCTGCAGTAAAGTTTATATATTCTTGTCTTGTCTTTTCCCACAGCTTTGAACCATAATCCTTTGCATAGAGGGTGCTTTTTAGACATTTGTTGAAAATGAGTAGATATTCTGGGTTGTGGATTAGAGGTAATAACTGATAATGTTTTGAGGACTCTAGTTATCTAATTTAATTATGAAATATCCTATGTCCTCAGGAATATACTAAAAAAATGATCCTTATTATTCCTTATATACAACTAGATCAACTGGATAACTCTTCACATGTAGTTGATTGAGCTGGGCATGGTTCCAAGCCATAGGTAGGGAATTAGGAAGATAGCGACCTGGACAGTTGACCAGAGGAGATCCATATTTGTTCCTTTTCCAAGAAATGTGATCAAAAAGAATGTTCAAAATTATTGAACAGGATCATTACTATTACATATTAGTGGAATATCACTGACAAATCCATAATACCAACAATCAGGACATATGTAATATTTGGAAAGTTGGCTGTCAGAGTCTTCTCCAAGGTTCTGAAGAACAACTATTTCAATTTAAAGATTAAGGTGTGCCTGATTGAAGCGATGATCTTGCCAGTCACCAGCTATGCATCTTAGAGTTGGACAGTGAAGAAGGATGAAAAAAGAAAAATTGATAACTTTGAGTTGTAATGTTGGAGAAGAGTAAGGAATATCTCATAGATTTCCAAAAGAACAGATATTTCTTAGAGAAAGTACAACCAGAATGCTCCTTAGAGGCAAGTATGATGAAGTTTTGTCTCACATACTTTTGAGTTTGTTATTGTTGTTAGATGCTGTTGAGTCAAGTACAACTCATAATGACCCTATGAACAACAGATCTGAACCCTGCCCTATCTTGTGCCCTTGTCATCATCTCTGACATACTTTTGTGCTTTGCTGCATTCAAAGGTGTCAATTCTCTTTCTGTAATCCTTATTCATTGTCCAGCTCTCAGATGCATAGGAAGCAATCTGAAAGATTATGGCCTAAATTTTTTTTTTCCAAAAGTAGACTTTAATTTTGCAATGAAAGTGAATACTGTGTATGAATGGGCCTAAATTTGATGCACCTTAGTCCTCATGCATTGTAAAGATGCAAAGGTCTTAAAATATGTAAAATGGTCTGTAGTAAATCCTCAGCAAGTTATTATTATTAGCTATTACTCCTTGTAGTCTTGTAATTTACCAAACTAAACCTACTGCTGTTGAGTCAGTTTCTACTCACAGTAATTTTCCACCAGGTTTCTAAGGCTGTTAATCCTAATGGAAGTTAATGTTAATCCTGTCTTTCTCCTGAGGAATGGCTAAGGGATTCAAACCACTGACCTTTTGGCTAGCTCCTTGACACATATCCCATTACAGCTTTCATGAGAACATAGTAAAAAGTTTTTGGGATGAGGTATTTGCACTTTAAAAGTGAGTCTCAGTCTAAACTCAAAAAACCAATCTACTATGTAATGTTATTCTTTCCACCTCTGACACACCATTAAAATGATGTAATGTAAAGTAGGAGTGTCATCCACTTCCTAAATAACATGCCTCCAGAAACTCTATAAATGTCGATAGTTATAGAGGGGCTGCTTCAGGCCTTTTGTTCATAGGGTCGCTATGAGTCATGCTCAACTCTAAGGCAACCAGTAACAACAACAACAATGTAAAGTATGTCCTACCCTAAAAATAGACAGGGCAGGAGTGGATGAAAAATCAGTCTTGAACTACCTGTGGTGACTGGAATGGAGGAGGTAGACTCAGTGATGGAGAATTGATCTCTTCTTGGAATTTCCCTCTTTTCAAGCTATTAAGCCTACTACTCTTCTATTTGTTTAGTCCTAAGGGAGCCCTGCTGATGTTTGCGTGCACTGCTAACCGAAAAGTTTGAACCCACCCAGAAACTCTAAAAAACCTGGTGGTATGCCTCAGTAAAGATTATTGCCCCGAGAAGTCTGAGCAGTTGTACTGCAACACATGAGATTGCTATGGGTGGGATGCCGCTAACAATGAAAGGCAAGGCCAGGGATGTTTGTAATGCCCTCCTGTCCTGACTTCTAGACACTTCTATAAGTTGAAGTTAACTGAGAATCTTTGAGGAGTGAAAGTCACTCCGAACACCGCTAGGTAAATGATGGTTACCTCTAAATCTTGCTGTTGAGATCTCTGGGGTTATTTTCTTAAACCATATGTACACCAAATTCCTATTTGTGTGCTCTCCTCCCCTACTCTCCCTCAGAAATTAGCATTAAAGAGGCACAAAAGATATTAATTGGCTATCCACCTCTATCAACCAACTAATCCTTCCTTTGACTCACTGACATAAGTAATTTACCAAATATTTCAATCCGAATGAACCCTTCAATATTTGTCTTTTAAGTAGCTGTGACTTTTAATTTATATACTGAATTTGATGAATTTTCACAGATTTGCTATGGAATTATTTACGGAATGGGAGCTAAAGCACTAGGTGAGCAGATGGGCATTACAGAAAATGATGCTGCTTGCTATATTGACTCCTTCAAATCCAGATACAAAGGTAAAGAGACCTTGAGCACTTGTTAGATATTAGACACCATTCTTTCCAGCCATCTTTCCATGTCATATTAAAAATTGTTATAGAATTTCTTCTGAAAACGTCTGTTAATAAAAATTTATGAGGTATTGTTAAAGTCAAATAACATTAATCTCACTCTTTATTTCTCTTTTTTTAATCTCTTAAATACTTTTTTGTTTCTTCTTTTTTTACTATTAATTTCAATGAAAATTTACAGAGACTTTGGATTTCCATTCATTCACTGTTGCACTTTTCTCCCCTCCCAACACTCCCCCTTAGTATACTACCCTTTAGGAAAAGTAAAAGAAAAATTCTTTCATTGTTTTACAATCCCTCCCCCCAGGTCCACTCCACCATGTAGCCTTTGCTCTGGACTCCTGTCATGACAAAAATACCACATATCCCTTTTAAACAGTTTTCTCCCTCATCTGTTTCAATGCAGTATACATTATTGAACCCGTCTTTCTCAGTCTCTTCCCAACCCCGAGGTCAGTCCTGTTTTACAACAGTGGCACCATGCAGTATTTATCCTTTTGTGACTGAGATAGTTCACTCAGCATAATGTCCTCCAGGGTCACCCATTTTGAATAATATTGTTTTTCAATGCAGCATAGTATTCCATTGTGTGAATATACCACAGCTTCTCTATCTATTCGTTTGGTGATGGGCATTTAGGTTGTTTCCAACTCCTTGATATCATGAAGAAAGCCGTGATAAACATGGGTGTGTATGTATCTACTTGGGTGGCAGTTATGTCTTCTTTGGCATATATCCCCAGTAGTGGAATTTTCTGGGTCAAATGGCATCTCTATTTGCAACTTTTTGAGAAAGTGCCATACCACCTTCCACAGTGGTTGCACCATTTTACACTTCCACCAACAGTTAATAGGGGTTTCCAATTTTTCCACAACCTCGCCAGCATTTGTTGCTTGCTGTTCTGTTAAATTTTGTTATTCTGACTGGGGTGAGATGATATCTCAGAGTTGTTTTGAATCTTACTCTTTACTTCTAAACTACTTTTCCATAAGGTATAGAGTAGAAAAATGCACTAGAAGTACATGCTACTATTTCATTGTGAGTCTCCTAATAAGATCTAGAATCATTCTGTGCTTTGGGCTTAGCTAGGATTGGTTTGAAAAATTGATCTCTGTACTAAGGAACTCAGAGAATAATTGATGTAGATCATTGTCTTAAATTAGCATAGTTTTGGTCAGTTTACTGAGATAAAATTTGGATACATGCTCCAAGGGTATAAGATGGGCAGCTTTCTCCACTTTGATTCACAGCTTTTGAAAATCTGCTAGATGGTTAGCTTTGAGTCAATTCCAACTTGACTGCAGACTACATCAATAGCTCCTCACTTAGTGACGGGTAATGCTGGCTGTCAAGGTGATTTGTCGGCTTAGCTGGACTATGAGTCTCAGTGGTTTGGCAGTTATGTAATGAAGTCATCATTCTTCATGTTTTGTTTTGTTTTAATCTGCTGTTAATCCTTTCCGTAACAACTTGATCTTTTTTTTGCATAATGACTTTGTCTTTGGAACCTGACTTTGAAGAGGGTATGTATGATGAACTGATTTTGAACAAAGTTGCCATGACAGTTTGATGGGCAAAAATGGGTATTTTCCAAAAAATGATATTAAAATATAAATGTAGCTATGGGAAAAAAATGAACTTTAACTCTTAAATCACATGTTATGTAATGTCTCCTAGAAATCTTAACTTCTAGGATCTATGAATGTGACCTTATTTGCTTACTGTTTTTTAAGATATAATTAGTTATGCACACCCATGTTTATCGCGGCTTTGTTCATAATAGCAAGGAGATGGAAACTACCTAAGTGTCCATCAGCAAACGAATGGATAGAGAAGCTGTGGTATATTCACACAATGCAATACTATGTTGCATTGAAAAGAAGGAACTCATGCAATATTATTCAATATGGGTGACCTTGGAGGACATTATGCTGAGTGAAATATCTCAGTCACAAAAGGACAAATACTGCATGATGCCACTGTTGTAAAACAGGACTGACATCGGGGTTGGGAAGAGACTGAGAAAGATGGGCTCAATAATGTATACTGCATTGAAATAGATGAGGGAAAAAACTGTTTAAAAAGGGATATGTGATTAGGTATTTTTGTCATGATGGGAGTCCAGAACGAAGGCTGCACAGTGGAGTGGACCTGGGGGGAGGGATTGTAAAACAATAAAAAAATTTTTCTTTTACTTTTCCAAGAGGGTAGTGTACTAAGGGGGAGAGTTGAGAGGAGAGAAAAATGCAACAATGAATGAATGGAAATCCAAAGTCTCTGTAAATTTTCATTGAAATTAACAATAAATTAAGAAAATACAATGAATTACAGTTGAAAACAAAGATCTAATTAGTTACCATGTGATCATACTGACAGTGAGGGGCTGATTGTAAAGGGGCACAAGGGAACATTTGTGAATGATGCCATGTTTCATATCATGTAGTAGTAGAGGTGTATTCATTTGTCACTGTTCACAGTAGATGCTATTTACTGTATGTAAATGACATGTCACAGTAATTTTTTTAAAAGCAATTGCAATCTTCAAATATTTGAGTGCCTTTTATAGGAGTAAGATAAGAAAACTTGTAGAAGTGCAGTCATTTATATCATCATTTTGGCTGGTCTTCACCCAATACTGTCATAATAATCCACAAAAGGTAAAAATGAAACCCTGTTGCTTTCTGATATGCTGTGCTAATGGCCAAATATCGTTAGCAGCTTCACTTGGCAAGGCTCTATCTCCCCAGGTGTCTTTCCTGTGCCAGCCACACAACAGGATGCCTTGAATGGGGTGCCCCTGATGGGAGACAGAAGTGTTTATTACAGGAGGAGCACAGCTCTGAGAAAGCCGTGATTGCTTCTGTGCAGAAAAGATAGGGCAGCTTAGATTCCTCACCTGATTGCATTTTGGAGTGTAGAGGGAAAAAAAAGAGTCCAGGAGAGAAGAACCTTGAGCTCAGAATAAATGAGCAATGAAGAAACCCACAGTTAGCAGAGAATTTATTGTGGAGGTCCAAGAGAATGGAACCATTTACACAGGATAAGTAGTGGTCTAGGGAATATAAGTGTGTTTGAATAATACATTATGCATTGCCTTTAACTTTTGAGAAGTGGATCTAATATGTTCCTAATGAAATGTATTATAGCTCACACATTAGTTTCTGGTAGATCCTATTTAGATCATAAGTAACGGCGAGGAGTCTTTGGAGTTTTTTAAGCCTCAAAATGATAAGATCTAAGAATAATTGAGAATTATTATTATTATGAAAGCAAAGAAACCTATAGGAAATAGTTTGGGAGTTTGTCTTAAGAGCCTGGAGCCAAGACATAATTGTTAAATTTGTAACTTTCTGAGTCTAAAAACAATGACTTAACATTTTATATGCTTCATTATGATGATATAATCATGGTGGGGTTGTAGTATATTCCATTACATTGAAATTAAGGATGGACTTTGTAATTAAGCGTTTCTGTATTTTCTTTGTAGGAATTAACCAGTTCATGAAAGATACAGTGAATAATTGTAGAAGAGACGGGTTTGTTCAGACCATTTTGGGAAGACGTAGATATTTGCCAGGAATCAAAGACAACAACCCTTACCACAAAGCTCATGTATGTTGAAACTTCTCTAGATTTTTTATTTACAATTTTAATGAAAAGTACTACTGTAACTTTTCAGCAGAGACTAAGCACTGTTAATACCCCTTTCAGGGACCACTAGCATTTAAATTGGATCTTTTGTTTTTATACAAGTCAATCATGGGCTTCATTGAAGACTCGAGTAAAGTCACAGGGCATAGGCTTTGGGAGACTAATGTAAACATGGGTGTTTTTTTTTCTAAAATTTTTTTTTTAATATACAGAGCAACATGTCCACCAGTCCAACTTTCTAGAGATACAATTATTTACACACATTACATTCTTTAAGTTGTACGGCTATTCTTACCTTCTTTTAGAATTATTCCTCCTTCAATAACATTTGACATAATAGTAAAAAGAGTCTTTTTGCTATTCTGGTGGCATAGACTAGTGAGCATGTTCAGGGTTGTATCTGCTTGTTGAAACATTGGTCAGTGAGTATTCCATCAATTCTTGGGACCTTATTTATTGTCAATACCTTCAGTGCAGCTTGAACTTCTTCCTTCATTACAGTTGGTTCTTGGTCTTGTGCTGTTTCCTGAAATGATTCAGTGAGGACCATTTCTTTTTGGTGTATAACCCGGTGACAAGGAACTCTTCAATTACCATCAGGTTGCATAGAACCCTGCCATGAGTGAACGCTGCCTATGTGCTGAGGCATTTTTTGTCACAGTTAGTGATATTGAGAGTTAGCCCACAGCGTGACTATTTAACCCAGACCTATAATAGGAAGCTCCACTGGTGTCGTTCATAAAGAGCTGTGCTGCTATCCCGAAGGTCGTGTCTCTCAGCTGGTTCACATACACCGCCAGCTCCGGGGAGTCAGTTCAGAATTATGCTCTTACTTGACACAGCGTGGGAGAGAAGGATAATGCCTCTACAGAGAGGTGCTGGCATACCCTAGAGTGTTGTGCTGCTAACTAAAGTAGCTGCTTGTCCCTCAGTTCGAATCCACGAACCTCTGTGTGGGTAAAAGATAGGCGGTGCCTTCTCATTACGCTTTACAGACTCCAAACCATTAGAAGGTCAGTATGAATAGGGACTGAGTCTGTGGCAGTGAGTTTAAGTTTGGTGGTGGTGGTTTTGGTTTTTGGTTTTCCCCCCTTAAATAACACCTATAATCACCCATACTTCCAGGAGCATTACTTTTACTCCCAGAATGATTAGCAGAGTACATAACAACAACAACAACAATAGCAGGGCACATCTCAGTGCAGATTCACGTTCTGTAGTGTAAACGCTGTCTGTGAACACTGATGTCCGTCATGGAAACCTGTTATTGCTTTTCATAGGCTGAGCGTCAGTCGATCAACACTACAGTCCAAGGATCAGCAGCTGATATTGTCAAAATAGCCACTGTGAACATTCAGAAGCACTTGGAGACCTTCCACTCAGCCTTCAAATCCCACGCTCATCGGGAGGGCGTGCTCCAAAGCGACCGAAGAGGTTTGTTCAGACACGAGGCCCCTCCCTAGCACTGTGAAACCCACTGTATCAGAAAACAAGTTGTTTATATTTTATCAGGCTGCTGACCATAGGGTCAGTGGTTCTGTTCCACCAGTGACTTTTCTGGAGGAAGATGGGTGGTCACCTTTGCCTCAGAAACCGATGAAGGGTCACTCTGAGTCAGAAGGGACTTGGAGATAGGGATGGGGATACAACAGTTCTCGTCCATTTCAGTCTCATGATTTCTTTACACTTTATACAGTTACAAGAGACAGCTCCCAAAGAGCTTCTCTTCTTATGAGTTATACCTGCTAATACTTGCCAAATTAGAAACGAACCTGAGAAAATGAAAAAGATTTATTAACATATGTAAAATACTAACAAAGAGTGGCTCTGCTTTCCAGTTTCGCAAGTTCTTGAATGTTTGGCTTAAGAAAAGCCAGCTGCATTCTTCTGCATGTTCCTTCACTCCGCCCTTTGGGATATGGCCTAGTGGGAAGAAGCTGCACTATGATCCCGGAGGCTCACGGTTCAAGGCCACCAGCTGCTCTGCGGGAGAAGGATGGGCAATCTTCTCCTTTGTGATTTGCTTCCTGTGAAAATCCGCCGCTGTGGGTCGGTTCCAACTCTACACACACAGCAACAACAGCTCTGGACAGTCCCTCGGATAATTGAGGGTGGTAACTGAGGAATTTCACAGAAGGAGGCGCTTTAAAGGTGCTAAGTCATGGTTATTGTGTACCATTGAGTAAGAAATGACCCATAGTTGACCCTCCAGGGGTTTTTAGAGGCTTAAAAAGTACAGGAGGAGATTGCCCATCCTATTCCCACAGAGCAGCTACTGGATTTGAACCATGTGCCTTCAGGATTGCAGCCCATATTCTTAGCACTAGGCCTGTAGAGCCATAATATACATAAGACGATGGAGCAAGGCCCGTTGGTGGTATCACGGGAACAGTCTGGACCTTGCGGGTGTCTCGGAAGCGTTTCGGGATCTTCTTGGGTCCTCGGACTCGGGGAGTCGGTTCTGTGGAGAAGCTGTTGGAAGGCAGGAGTCACCTCACGGAAGCAAGTCCACTCACAGGCTCTCATGTCTGACGGGGAGGGCTTTGCTCTGGGAATTCACCTTTTGGACCCTACGTTTGGAATGACTTCTCTCGAGTGCGCCGCTCACCTGGGGAAGAACGAGCCCCCCTAGAATGCACCTCTGGCCACAGGACAGCCCCAGGTGCGCCCCTTGTAAAACAGGCGCTGACACCTGTCCACGTTCCTGGGCCGGGCATCGGACGGAGCGAGGGAGACTGGAGAAGGAGACAAGCGGATGGCGGTGGGTTGTGAGAAATGAGAGTGGATTAGTTGTGCTCAGTGTACAGACTCCTTCCTAAGGTGAAATTGATGGGCTTTGAGTTGACCTCACAGGAGGGCTTAGGGGGTAGCTGGTGAGTAGATGTTTCATGGTGTTGAGTGTTTTAACTGAATGAAAACCCCTGAGAACGTCCTCCGTGGCGCGGTGACAGGCTGAGCAGTTTGCTCCTTTCTCCACGCGCAGGACTGTTGCCAAAGAGCAGGCCGCACGGCATGTTCTGCCCGATCCGCGGCGGCTTCTTCGTCCTTCAGCTTCACGATGAGCTCTTGTATGAGGTGGCGGAGGAGGATGTGGTGCAGGTATTTGGGGGGAGGGGGTGAGTGTGTGTCTCTGTCTGTCTGCCCTCCACGTGTGTGTGTATCTATCTGTCCGTGTGTGTATCTGTCTGTCTGTCCTCCGTGTGTGTATCTATCTGTCCCCTGTGTGTGTGTGTGTTCGTATCTTTCTATCTGTCCTCCGTGTGTGTGTGTGTGTGTGTGTCTGTCTGTCTGTCTGTCTGTCTATCTGTCCTGGGAGGCCTATGCTAGGCAGTCAGCCTCGTCTCCCAGGCCTGAGCGTCCACACCCCGATGCTGGCCCCGGGGTGACCGAATGGAGCCTTGTCTCAGGCGGGGAGGAGCTTTGAGGGCTCTGCCCCGCATCTCCCATAAACAACTGAAGCCATTTCTGATGCCCGAGAGTCTCTTTTCGCTTGGGAGATGTTGAATAGATGTTAGATGTTGAAACCTTGACCAAAGCCTTTCACAGCTCTGGGCATTCTAGTTACAGCTTGAGTTCGAGATGCCGGACTCCTTCCCCAAAAGGTGATGCGCCCCAGACAGCTCCGCCACCTTTTCAGTAACTGGGCTGGGCAGCCTTCCTCCTGGATTGGACGGAGGATTTATTAACCTTGTTATTATTTTGTAGGTAGCTCAGATCGTCAAGACTGAAATGGAAAATGCCATAAAACTGTCTGTGAAACTTAAAGTAAAAGTGAAAATTGGGGCGAGCTGGGGGGAGCTGCAGGACTTGGACGTGTAGCCCCAGCCCGAGTGCGCCTCCCGGACTCTCAGCGACCACACAGAAAGTGCCTCTTCGTGCTCATCGTGAAAATGGAAACCGCCAAGTCTAACTGGATACAGGATGGTAATTTTAAGATTATATTTTAAAAAGAATTCATCAGAGTCCACGTTAGTGTGAAAAAAGAAACTTTTGGAGGGAAAATACAAAGATGGATGAATTCTGTTCACTCTACAAGAGTATTTGTGCAATTGCCTTAAACAGGCTCAGCAGACACGCTTGAATGTGCACTCTGACCCTCCTGGCCCGGCGGGGAGGCCGCGGGCTGCTGTGTCCAGGCCCAGAGGTGCAGACCCCAGCCTGGGCAGGAAGGCCTGCTTTAACCGCCGCCACTTGGGCCAGGCGTTGGGCGTTTTCTCGCCAAAGCCAATTCATAACTACTGAAGTAGTACTTTTAAATAGCATTGGGTAATACTTGATGAATTCTATAAAATGGTGAGATGTGATCTAGATGGCTTCTCGGAATGAGAAGAACGAGATCCTCTTCCTTTTCCCTCCCCGCTTGAGACTGTGAATGTATTTGGAACACTTATGAGATAAGCTATCCCTCTTCAAGAGGGTCCTGCTCTCAGAGCAGATATTTTTATAAACAGGCCAAGAAAGCTCCCCTTGGTCCTCAGTGCCTCTTTTTAGTGTTTGTATGATGGAAAAGACTGTACTTGGTGATTCACTCTGAGGTGGAGATTTGACATTTTTTGCTGATGAAATAAAATGAATTTCTGAGAAACTTGACATGAGTAGTTTTCTTTTTAATTGTATGTGGTTTACATTCTTTATTTCCTTATTCTGCAGATTGCCCAGACATGTTTGAGCACATAGAAAATGCATATTATGTTTCCAGTCAGTTATCAGAAGAACTCTTCTGTTTATTAAACAGAATAAAGTATACTACACCATCAGTAGTTGATTATTAATGTATAAAGGTCTCAGTACATAGTTTTCTTGATATATTTGTTGGGCAGAAGGTGACAGGGGTAGGAAGGAGGTTTTATCTCACAAGTTTTTACCATCTTCAGTCTCATCATTCTTCCATAGAGCAATCTGACATCTGAGATCCCGCACAAGAAAAAACTCAGTATCTTTATATGTAGATGTTCTTCAACCTGACGACCAACATATGGGTCATTTCCTCTTTATTTTCTGCGTCTGTGGTCCTGTGTGTGTGTAAATATGCAATTTTTCACATTGTGGAATGTGAAAAAAATAAATAGAACAAGGGAGGATATATAGGAACCGTAATTCTAAACTGATGAGTGAATAGCTTGACTACTTCATATTTCTTTAAAGGTCAGTATCTTTACAAGATAAATACTTCATCTACAACACACACACACACAAGACATGAACAACAATGTTCACTGTCGTCATGTCTGTACTATCGAGAGTCTGGAAAATATGTAAATGCTTACCAATAAGATGATGTTTAAACAGATTATGGACACCATAACATCAAATAAGTGAATTAAGAACGACTTATGTGTAAATACCGACAGAGAAAGACTACTAAAACACATTAGGTATAAGAATAATTTAAAGCAGAGAAAAATGCTTAGAAGGAAAATTCAAAGTAACTGCCACAGTTACTACAGTAACTCTGTAAGGGTTAGGAGGGACCAGGGCACTGTCTAAATATTTTATTATTTGGTTGATTACAAATAGGCACTCATGTTTTATTTGCCTAATTCAAACAAGCTTGTAAAAAGCTAAGTGGGTTTTTTTTTATTGCGGCTTTGTTCGCAACAGCAAAGAGCTGGAAACAACCCAAGTGCCCATCAACAGACAAATGGATAGAAAAGCTGTGGTATATTCACACAATGGAATACTATGCAGCATTGAAAAACAAGGAACTTACGAAATATTATGCAAAATGGATGACCCTGGAGGACATTATACTGAGTGAAATATCTTAGTCACAAAAGGACAAATACTGCATAGGGCCACTGTTGTAGAATATGACTGACGTCAGGGTTGAGGGAAAACAGAAAAGGTGGGGAGGAATGATGTATATTGCATTGAAATAGATGAGGGAGAGAACTGTTTAAAAGGGACATATGAACAGGTATTCTTGTCATTATAGAATCCAGAGTGAAGGCTGCATAGTGGAGTGGACTTGAGGGGAGGGATTGCATAACAATGAAAGTTTTTCTTTTCAAAGAAGAGTGAATTGGGGGGAGAGTGGGTAGGGAGAAAAGTGCAACAGTGAATGATTGGAAACGTTCATTAAAATTAATAAGAAAAAATTAAAAATTAAATAAACTTTTAAAAAGTTAAAGTTAAGTGTTTTGAATAATAGTTGGATTCCCAACCCAGTTTACAAAACATTTAATGTATAAAGCACCTGACCATCTGCTATGTTAGAAGACAGCTGTCATTGAAATACAAGCAAGACCACAAAGTTGAAATATTTTATAGCTTTATTTTGAAACAATTCTAAACTTAACCATTTCGGTAATGTACAAAGAATACCACTTTACGGGGAAACCACACACAAGTTTTGCTAATTGCTCCAGTTAAGTCGTTTCTAGCAAAAGCCCCAAGCCAAGACCACACTCCCACACAGTGCATTTCTCTCTGGTCTCCTTGAATCTGGAACTACTTTTCTTCCTTTTCATGACCTCGAAAATTTTGGAGACTATGTTTTCTGGAAATTCTTTTAATATGCCTTTGCCCAAACTGCACCCCCCCATAAACTCAGATATGCATTATTGGTAGGAATAAAAAAAAATGTTGTTATTATATCAGGTATGTCACTGGTGGTGTTAACTTTGACTTTTTTACTAAGATAGAGTCTGCCAGATAACTCAATGTAAAATTGTATTTTTCTTTAATAATAACTATTTTGTAAAGATACTTTGAGACTCCAAAAATATTCTGCTCAACCTCTTTGGCCTCACTTTGGCCCTGCCCCTGGCCGTCCATGTAGGAGTGGCCATACGCAATGTGCTGAGCTGGACCAACGGCTTTGGATGGAATGGGAAGAAGAGATGAGACAAGCAGACAGGAAGGGAGGGAGGAAATTTTGAAGGGAATTGCAGGGTATTTGGAATTTTAAAGAGTTTGCCTTTATACTTTTGACTGGAACATTTTTTGATGAAAAACATTGTTCTCACCTTTGGTTGGTTTTAAATGTTTTACATGGAACTGGAACTACGAGGAAACCGAGGTAGTGGTGTTTCCTGAGAGGATAAGACTAGATTTGGAAGAATAAGGTTAGTTGGTTAAGGCCATGGTGGGCGCAAATAGGAAGGAAGCGTTAGGAGAGAGAGACAGGATTTGATGAAAAGTTGCTGAAAGGAGGGACCACGTTCTTTCTGGAGGATTTTTGTTGTTGAGTTGTGACTATGCATCATAACCACTGGGTGGCGGTATAAATACGTAACAGCATCATCATCCTGGAAAGGTCACAGGGACGTGAAATCTGCATGTTAACTTCGCAGGCATATTGTAGGCATCTCTTATTTAACCTCAACTCCATACACAAAATTTTCTCCAAATTTATTTTCGTTCTTCATCAAAGGTGAAAAACCTGTCCACATTCCTAATTTGATGGCAATTTTGAGTGGCTCAATATTTCTAGACTTTTGGAGTAACAAAATCTAGTAAAACCTAATAGTAAAACAGAACCCAGGTGGCACAGGCTTCGCGGAAAGGTTAAAAGTTTGAGCCCGCCAACAGTTCTGCAGAAGACCCAGCCCCACACTCTTCTCCTGTAAACAAGGTAGGAGACCCTCTGGAGGCCCTGAGAGTCGGAAGTGACTCGACGGTACCCAGAAACAGTAAAACTCTTATGAGTTTTGGGAATTTGTGTAGGATTTTTGTTTATTTTATTTTATTTTTAGTTCAAATACCTATACTGTACATTGCTCCCCCTCCCCACTCCCACCTTTAAAAAAATCACATTTGAAGAAATCATCGTTCTCAGTGTTGCAAATGAGAGTCTTACCTCAGTGCATATTTAATCTTGACAAAAATCACCAGCAGTGCATGATATCATGACATAAGAGAGCATCTATGTACAAACATATACAATTTTATTGATATTTCTACAGACTACAAGAATTTTGTTAAGTATAGTCACAATTTGCTGAGTGCAACAGAAAAATAGTAATTTGTCATTTTCTGAAAAGATGCAAAAATTCTGAAGATGAAAGAAAGATACATCAGTGATGTCATCTGTTTCTTATTTCCTAGAATAAAACATCACATAATTAAGTACTAAAAATTATGTTATTTAGAGATTTTGATTCTGTGTACAATTGTCCAAAACCACCAACTAGTATATTTTCTGGCTTTAGTTGAGAAAGCGGGACCTTCACCAGAAGGGGTGCAGCCTGCGCGGCAAGGACCCCTGGATTTTTCTCCTTTTGTGCCAGGCCTTGCCTGGGCTGTGCCCTGCCCTGGGGCCGGAGCCCTGGTGCACACCAGGGGTCAGATAGTGAATCACAGGCTTCTTTTCCCTTTAAACACACTAAGAAAAGACACTCAGGTGGCCTTGGGAGCTAAGACAACACTCAAAAAGGAGTTGTTACCCCTTCTTGCAAAGATGAGTCCAAGATTTGCTGTTTCGTGAGCTGCAGTAGACTCAGCCTCATCTAACAACAACAGATTGGGCCAGTGCTGGCACCCAGGCCTCCTCCACGAGAAGAATGTGTAAGAATTTGGACTCCATCTAGTAAATTTTTAGAATTAACAACGGTCTAACTATTGAGAATCCCACATAGCTTTACAGGCTGTTGAATCTATTGAAATATTTCTGGTATCTTAGGAGTTCACATGTGTCAGTTAATTTAAAAAAAAGTGTTTAAACTGGAATAAATAATAGGCAAATGGCACAGGGAATTATAAAAAAGATAGTCACTAAGAGGTGGTGTGACATTGGTCAGGAATCTGCACACACTTTTGCTCTTTGTCTCACAAAGAGCAAACACCAATCCTGTGAAAGATCTGTGCCCAGAATCTCC